TGCCTTCTTCCCTGTCGGTGCTGGGATTAAAGGTGTGTGATACTACTGCTTGACTATGCATACAGATTTTTCTATTTTATATTAGACATTTTTTACATTGATGTCCATAATGCACGCTACATGTGTCTCTGTTAGAATGGACTGTTACAGACGAGTCATATGGTTCTCCTGTGCACACTGACTAACAATGTAATGAACACCATCTTGTTCACATCTGTGAATATTCTGTATAAGTGGAGCAGTCTCACCAGCGGGAAAAGCACTATTTTAATGTAAAGAGTCATGGTCATTTGGTCACAGCTGTATACATGATTTGTGGGATTCCAGTCTCATTTTTACTAGCATGTTCTGGGAAATGAGTTTATTCCCTCTTGTGTCCTTTCTGCAACAATTTTGGGGACATTAGTCTCTCTCTCTCTCTCTCTCTCTCTCTCTCTCTCTCTCTCTCTCTGTGTTTGTGTGTTTATGAGCATGTGTGAGTTTCACTTCCTAGTCCTTCTAACTGGGTTGTCATTCTGAAAAGCTAAGCTGTAGTTTTAGTCAGGAATGTACTAACAAACAGTAACACCTTTGAGGAGTATTCATCCTTTCGGGTGGAGCTGTGATGAGTTCAATAGATTCTATATAACTTGTATTCACTTGTTTCTAATGTTTTTCAGACTGGACAGTCATTCTGAGGAACTTATTTCCTGCACTGCACCTGTTTTCCTCACCGGACCCCTGTCCATTCCCTCTGACAGCTGCCAGACCCTGACTTTATGCCCCAGGCTCCTGCAGGCTCTCTGGCCTTTGGCTCTTGTTCAGGCTTGCTGAACTCTCAAGGCTTTCCAAGTTCACTTAGTGTGGACGCAAGTTTCTGTCCCGCCTGGTCCCGCAGCCCTTCAGCCCCAAGGAAACACACAGAGGTCTACATTAACTATAAACTGGTTGGCCTATTAACTCAGGCTTCTTATAACTTTTATAACTTATATTAGGCCATAATACTTGTCTGTGTTAGCCATTTTTGGCCTTTTGAGAATTATCCACACTAATATCCATAGCAGCCATCCGGTTTACAATCCCACAAACTGAAGGAGCGCGTCCTTCATCAGCATCCTTTCCAGCATCTGTTCTCAGATGAAACCAAACATTCTTAACAATTAGCATTTACCCAATTGTTAAGGACAATGAACAAAATGTTAAGGTATTAAGAAAGCTAAGAAGATTTATTTATTTAGAGAACTCTGTTCAGATGAAAAGCACGTTTTCCCATGACCCCCACACTCCCAATTTACTCAGGAGATCTCTCGTCTTTTTCTCCTTCCTACGTAGACAATTATTTTTTTTTTTCGAGACAGGGTTTCTTGTAGCTTTGGAGCCTGTCCTGGAACTAGCTCTTGTAGACCAGGCTGGCCTCAAAATCCCAGAGATCCGCCTGCCTCTGCCTCCCAAGTGCTGGGATTAAAGGCATACATCACCACAGCCCAGCAAGAAAATTAAAATTTTTAAAAAACTTAATTTCTGTGTATAATTGTTTTGTCTGCAAGTGTATATGTGAACCATGCATGTGCCTGGTGTCCTCTAAGGTCAGAAGAGGGCACTGGAACCCTGAAACTGGAGTTAGAGGCAGCTGTGAGACACTGTGTGGGTGCTGAGAACTAAAGTAGGTCTTCTGTGAGAGCAAGAAGTGCTCTTAACTGCTGAGCAATCTCTCCAGCCCCATTTCATTAGTGTGTGTGTGTGTGTGCGCGCGCGCGCGCGCGCGCGTGCACACGCGTGTCTGCTTGTCTGTTCTATACCATGTGCTCTATGTCTAGCTGGCTGGGTGAGAAATGGATTTCATTTGGTTTGAGCCTTTTGGAGCCAAGTCCTTCTATCTACAGTCAAGGAGTTGCCCACAGGTCAGTGTATCACAGTTAACCTTTTGGAGCTTGTAGGTAACTGGCCCTGTGTTGAGGCCTGGAAACTGGGCAGGAGGACAGCAAACTGTGATGTAGGTAGTTCCAGGACAGTACGGGCTACATAAAGAGGCCCTAAAGAATTTTTTTTTTAAAGACAGGGTTTCTCTGTGTAGCCCTAGAACCTCCTTTGTGAAGGGTCTAGAAATAAGAATATAGAAATGTAGGTACCAGAGATTAGCATGTAGAAAGAAAGACATAGAAAGTCGGAAACCCAGACAAACTACCAACAGCTTTCTCGGCAGTTTAAGGATCGATTGTCACAGTGGGTCATTTTCTCAGCTGCTTAAGAATCTATCGACAGCAGTGGGTTATTTCATTTTACAACTGGCTGCTCTGTTTACAAGACCAAGTGTACCTCTGCAAACTGAGAGTTAGCCCTAAGATAACACCCTGCCATCCCCACCAGTAATTAACAACAGATATGAGCTGAGTTAACTTTTAAATGATGGGGTATACCTGACTTTTGAGTTGTGCATTTTCCCATACCCTTCCCTGCTACACAAAACCGGCAGTGTCAGGGGAGTGCAGAGCTTTGGTAAACACCATCAGGGAGCGCTAGGGAAAAACAATAGACTAAATACAAACACCAGTAAACTCTGGAAGTGAAAATTGTAAAAAAAAAAAAAAAAGGCAATTTGAATCTGAGTTTTACCTCCAGATTGTAAACATTCCTTTGTTTATGCCTAATGAATGCTCTTGCATCTTGCTATAAAAAGGGGGAGTTTAGAAACCGGCCTCTGCCACAGCCTTACAAGTCCATCTCTGGCTGTGGTCTCAGCTAGCTGATGAGCTTTTTGTGCCCCATGGAGATTTTTTAATTTTTAACTTTCTTCCTGGAATACAGTTTGCTTCTGGTTTAATAGACTTTGGTGGTCTGTCCCCATCTTTGCGTGACCCCCATAGACACAACATTTTGTATACCAGGCTGGCCTCAAACTCAGAGAGATCTGCCTGTCTCTGCCTCCTGAGTGCTGGGATTAAAGGCGTGTGCCACCACCACTCAGCATTTTATATATTTTGTTTTGTTTTGTTTTTTCGAGACAGGGTTTCTCAGTAGCTATGGAGCCAGTCCTGGAACTCGCTCTATAGACCAGGCTGGCTTTGAACTCACAGAAGTCCACTCTACCTGCACACACGCATTTCCATCACCTAATAAATGCCCTGTTGCACTGAGAGGACCAGTCACTCAGCATCACTCAGTCCTCCTGGGAAATGCAAATGTGTGGGCCCTGCCCCAGGTCAGTCCAGGGCTGTGAGGTCAGAGCATCCTTTCAGGAATGAGCACAGTGACACCTCCCACTGATTTCATTTGAGCTAGCTAAACTGGCCTGCCTCTCCACTGCAATTGCTGTTGGTGTCTGGGGTCTGGGTTGGGTGTTTCCCGGTTGTTAGGCTTCTCAAAACTGACATAGGCTGGAGAGATGACTCTGGTTAAGAGCACCACATACATTCTGAGGACCTGCATTCAGTTCCCAGCACAAACCAGGCAGCTCATAACCTCCTGGAAGATGAGCTCCAGGGGAGCTGACACCTCTGGCCTCCATGGCTCTTGCACTGGTGCCCACTCATGCATACCATCTCCTTCCTCGACAATGAAATAAAAGCCTACAGATTTCAAAGTAGCAAGGAAACCAATCAAAGCAAAGTGACAGCACCCATCAAAATACACTGCAGGACAGCAGTGGGCCATAAGAGTTAAGACACTCAAGGGTGGGGCTGCTGATGGGTAGCTCTTACCAAGGACCTAGGTTGGCTCACAACTGCCTAACTATAGTTCCAGGTGATCCAATGCCCTCTTCTGGCCTCCACAGTCACATTCATAAAGACACATAAATAATAAATCCAGAAAAATAGGTGGCCAGCTCCAGAGGAACACCTGAGATTGTCTTGCACACACACACACAGACACACACACACTGAATATAACTGGACATATGTCAATGACTAACAGAAGAATATCAAAGGAAAAAAATGGATATTATGCTTATGAGTGCTCTGCCTGCATGTATATGTGCCTCGTGGTCAGAAGAGGCTATCAGATCCCCTGAACTGGACTTACAGTTGTTAACAGTCATGTGTGTACTGGGGCCCAAACCTGTGTGTCTTCTGCAAGAACAATTGCTCTTAAACACCGAGTCATTTAACCAGCTCCTAACTGGCAGGTTATTTTTTGGTGACTTTAAACTGGGTGACTGTTCCAGGGACTGGAAGGCAGGGAAAGGGATCCCGGGAGCAAGCTGGGTTCAAGTGAGAGACCCTCGATGCTAACTCACGTCCATGAAAATACATGGACTTCTCCACACGTGAGGACACACACACAGATATTGAAACTCGTGCATGAAAATGGATGGACACCTCCACACATGAAGATAAACATTGACATACATGAAAGCGCATGGACACTTCCACACGTGATACACATAGATGCTGACAGAGGGCTGGAGGGTAGGGGAACTCAAGTCCAGTACAAGCTCCTGAGAGCTTCCTTGGGAAGACCGTGGGGAAATCTCTGGATGAGACCTTTTGTTTGTTTTGAGACAGGATCTCATGTAGCCCACGGTGGCCTCAAAACTGTCATCTTGCTGTCCTAGCCTCCCAGAGGGCTGGGAGTACAGGCATGTGTCACGCCTACCCAGGAAGAGACAGACGAATGGCAAATTCAGACACCTGGAACGAGCAGCTGGGAGGAGAAGCAAGAAGAATGCACCGAAAAGAACACACACCAAAAGCAGCCACGACAGGGAGTCCAGAGTACCCTGGACCAGCGTGGCTCAGCAGAACAGCCAAAACACAAACGGCCAATGTAATCCCAATTTTATTATTAAAATTTTGTTGATTTAAAATTTACATTTTTGGGTGCGAATGTCATGTGCCACAGCACCTGTATGGACGTCAGAGATAACTTGAGGGCGCTGGTTCTCTCCTTCCATATGTGGGTCCTGGGGCTTTGAACTCAGGTCCCCAGGCTTGGCAACAAGCATTGTCATCTGCTAAGTCATTTTGCTGGCCCTAATTTTAAATTTTCTAGTAGCCACATAATAAAAATAAAAACAATATAAGTAAAGTTAATTTTAATAATATATTTTATTTAACCCAAGATATCCAAAATATTACCATATCAACATGTGAGCAATATAAAAAATTATTTTTTGTACCACATCTTTCAAATCAGGTGGGTATTTTACACTTAAAATATATCTCAATTCACACAAGCCATATTCTCAAGTGCTCCAAGCCACACTGATCCTGGTGGCCAATGACTGAACAGTACAGCCAGGCCCTCACTATGCCAGGCCGTCACATCCTGGGCCCTTTAGAAGTGTGGTATCTTGGGCCCTTTCCAGATCCCAGAGAAGTCAAATGCACATTCAAGACTGAGGAAATGGGCCAGTTCTGCTAACACTTCTGTGGCTGCCTATTGCTCTCGTGCTAAGTGCCTAGTTACTGAGCGAGGCAACCATCCATCCATCCTTCCATCATCCATCCATCCATCCCTCCATCCATCATCCTAATGTCACTCACTCCACACCTGGTCCCTGAGCACTGAGTGCCAGGCCCCATGGTGGGTGGTCTGGGTGGTGCTGGGGACACAGCAGGCAGACAACAGTCATCATCCATGCTCCCTTTGACCAGTGTGGATGCCATGTGCTTCACAGTCACCGTGAGCGAGGGGCATCCCAGGAGGCCTGACCTGGCCAGGGTGGACAGGGACCCAGAAACTAAGCCAAATAAGGGAAGAGGCCCCAACTGTGGCAAGCAGCCATGAGCAGATTAAATGTCCTACTGCAGGAGACAGGACTGCCAAGCAACCTGGCCTGCTGTTAAGATGGATCACTTTCAGGCCGTACAGAGGCAAGGAGACAGGCCCCAAGCATAAGATTACAGGAAGATCTCCAGGGCGACATGACACCATGCTCAGAAAAGTGGGATAAAGGGGACAGAGGACTAGGAAGGTACTCAGCTGGCCAGCAAAGGAGTAACTTGGGTCAGAGAATCCTGGTGAGCCTTTCTTTAAAAAGTCATTCCATTAGCCAGGCATGGTGGCACACACTTTTAATCCCAGCACTTGGAAGGCCGAGGCGGGCTTATTTCTGTGAGTTCAAGACCAGCTTGGTCTACACTGAGACTGTGTCAAAAACAAAAACAAACAAACAAAGATTCTTCTATGAAACATATGTGAGTTTGCTCTGCCGTCTGAGCAGGGGATGAAAGAGCAGAAGAGATGAAGGGGGCTTTGGGGATACAGGGGTGTGAGGCTTCTGTGTGTCTGAAAGTTTCCCTAAGACGAAGGGAGTATCCTGTTTTCTTCAGGACAACTGGGGACTCTGAAAAGTTCCAGCCACTGGTGAAGGAAGGCATTGAAGCTCCTCCGAAAGGCGACCCCTCCTCTCACAGGTATCAAGGAGGGGAGTGGCTAACTGGCACCCAGGGTCCAGAGAGCTGCCTTCAGATTCGGAACCTGAAAGCTTGAGCCTGGTGCAGAGGCCCAGGTCTTGGGCCCAGCCTGCCCAGAGGCAGAGGCAGGAGAACCCGGAGGCAAGGTCAGACCACACAATGAGCCATGCTACAGGAGACCTTGTCTTTTCTCTCTCTCCTTTTGGAGACAGGTCTCACTGGGTAGCTCCCAGTTGGCCTGGAACTCTCTGTGTAGACCAGGCAAGAACTGAATTCAGAGCTCTGCCTGACTGCCTCCCAATCACTAGGATTAAAGCTGACCCACGATATCTGTTTTTTGAAAAATATTTTCTGTGTATGAAGGTTTTGCTTGCATGTATGTATGTGCCCCACATGTGTTCTGGGCCTGCAGAGGCCAGCAGAGGGCGCTGTGCTCTCTGGAGGTCGAGTTATGAGCTCCATGTGCTCTTCTTAGCTGCAGTCATCTCTCTGCCCTCTCTTCAGCGAAAGACAGGTGATAAGTTTAAACTCCAAATGCCTCACTGAGAACCGGGAAAGGAAAGGTGAATACCCACTGGGCTGTTTCAAGGTGACTGAATCTTGGCTGTGGTGTGGCTGAGGCTCCAGGCCCGGGTTCTATTCCCAGTGTGTCTGTGGGAAAACTAAGCAGTGACTGCAAGCTTGCGAAGGGCTCAGGACTGCTTGGTCTGGAGAACCTGTCCTGGAGTAGGCAGTTATCATTGCAATTTGGGCTTCTGAGACCAGCTGGCCTCAACCTTATGATCTTCCTGCCTCTGCCTCTCAAGTGCTGGGACAGGCCTGATTCGCCACACCTTGCCGGCAGTCACTGTCATAACAAGTGTCCACCACGAGGCTCACTCTGAAACAGCCCAAGTGGCCACAGTAACAGTCATGGACACCAACCTGCTATCCTCACGGCGGCCAATACCCAAAGAACCCGTCAGCTATCCAGATGCTGAGACACTGGTGCAAGTCAGGTGACATCTGGAGATGCTTAGTGGGACAGCTGGCACTGTGGCAGTGGTGTGTAAGGGACAGGAGCTGATGTGTAGATGTGTTTCAAGAGGCCTTGCAGGCCCGACTGTGACACACCGCTTTCCCCTCCCACTCTAGGGCCTTGCAGTAATGCAGCAGTTCCTGGAGGCTCTTATCCTAGTGGCTAAACACTATCCAACTTCTTCAGATAACTCTTCCTTACACCAGTTATACTGGGCCGGAAAGGGGGTTGGGATCGGGAAAGAATCGCAGTGGATGAGGTTGAGTGACAGAGGGAGGTGGAAGCTCCAGCGGACAGGCTGAGCGGGCTGGTGAGCATGCAAGGGCCACTCTGAGAGAGGGTAGGGTGAGGCAGCAGGCAGAAATTAGGGCCCAAGGACCAGCAGGGGCAGAGGCTGATTACCAGGCCTCAGGGCCAGGAGAAGACAATACCAGCAGAGGCAGGAAATGATGGCCCAGGGGTGAGGAGAGCCCTACATGGGAGAAACTGGGGAAACACAGGGTCTCTGGGACCAGCAAAGTGACAGAGTCTGGTTGCAGGGAGAAGCCTCAAAGTACAGGCCTCCGCAACACAGACTCCACAGAGCAGCCAGTTCACTGTAAAGAAAGGACAAAGGAAACAGGAGCCTGTGTGGACCCTGGGTGTCGACCTGGGTCAGAGACACGCACACGGGAACACAGCTGTGCATATGTGTGGGGCTACAGATGCGTGATGTTAGCTGACAGCAGAACAGGAGGCAGCCGCACATCCCAAGTCTAGACCCAAGTCTAACACTGTTCTCCTGCAGAAGGGTTCAGAGTTGCCTGAGGAAAGACAGAGAGCCTGCAGCGTGATGAAGCACAGAGAGGAAGCTCAAAAGGAGGCAGAGAGAATGCAGGAGTCTGCCTGGAAGGCAGCAGCAACTTGAAAAAAACACACGGAATCACAACAGTGCTCTAGACCAGATGGTAAATGGATACCCTGAGTTCATGCTGACAGACTGTTGTCGAAACAGACAAAGGGAAGACAAATACAAGAATTTTCATTAGAATGCCACAGTGGTCGCTACAGGCCAGGAGGAAGCACCAACAGCATCCTCCTGAGTTTGTTAGTTACTGCGGACTATGCCCTGGAAGGTGTGAACGCAGCTCAGGTGCATGTGTTGGAAGCTTGGCCACCTGGCCTTCACTGTGAAGAGGTCACAGGGTGTGCTCTCCAATAGAACTAAGTTCTTGTGAGACCCCAGTTAGTTCTCACAAATATTATTTTAAAAAAGCAAGCCTGCCAGCTCCTCACTGTCTGGTTTCCTACCTCACCATCGACCCCTTTCCCACATGTTCCTTGCCATGATGACTTCTACCTCAAATCATGAAAAAAGGGGGGCATCTGGTCTTGGAGATTCAGTTTCCCAAACTTAGCTCTTCTCTTTACACATTACCCAGGCGCAGGCATTTCGTTAGAGCAACAGAAAGCAGACTACTGCACTGTAGTTGTAACACATGGGTACAAATCCTTGTGACAGCGTCTTCCTTCGGGAACTGGAGCCTAATGCTCCTCACTCTGAGAGTGGACTGAAGTCAGTGACCACTTCTTACAAAAAGGATGGAAGAGGAGAACGGGAATCCTACAGCTGGGAAATCTGCAGACTGAGGTCATGGGCGACACCACCTCAGCAGACTTTCCAGAATTTAAATACCAACCTAGCCATGAGAAGAATACCTAACAGACAGACAGAGCAGCACGCTGTGAGCTCCTGACCACCATCTTTAGAAACCGTCACGGAGAAAGTGCCCCACAACGGAAGGATACATGCGATATGGCCTCCTGGGCTGGATCCTGAACAGAAAAAGGGAGAGGTGTGACTAGGGCATGAGTGAAGTGAGTGCCAGTCAACGGGGGGGGGGGGGGGGGGGGGGGGGGGAGGGGTGAGGGGGTGTCTTATGAAAGACACCGACACCAGGGGAGCTAGGCACACCAGGGGACAGCCTCTGAATGACCCTGACATTTTCCCACAAGGCTAAAGTGATGGATAGGAAGTTCTCCCTCTACTGACTTGGCTACAGTGGTCCTGTGCCCTCATTTGACTTCTGTAGACCTTACCCACGCACGTCTCCTGGTGCAGACTGGTCCAGGTGTGGCCCCTGGGTTTCCACAGCCCCCTGCCACCATGTCTTGCCCAAGCCTGTTTTCCTTGCTCAGCCTTGAGCACTCGGCAGGCGGGATGCCACCCCGACTGGTGAGGTGTGAGCTCAGAGGCCGGCCCTGCCATCACTGTCTGGCTCACAGGGATGCAGGTAAGAAAGAAGAAACTGGGCCGAGAACGCTCCTGACCTAATCTTGAGCCCTTCTCAGCTCAGAGCCTGCTAGACTCTACTTTCTACGGGGATGCTCCAGGGTAAGTGTTTTCCACCCACTTCTCAGGTCCCCACACCTGAGGCAACATCAACAGTTCATTCCACACACCCCTTCCCACAAAACAGGGCCAAATCCTCAACCTATTACACCTGCTGTCAGCACACTAACTGTGAGGCTTGGGGTGCCTGCCGAGCTCGGCGCCCTCTGAAGAGGACACACATCACAAGAGGAGCCCTCCAACGGCAGCAGGTCTAACTGGGCTGTAGTGCTGGCCCCTGCATTTCAACTCCTGCCGGCCACATTGTGACCAAGAATGGAGGAGCTGTAGGGAACTGAGCAGGAAGGCCACATAGGGCTGGGGCAAGAGTTCCCTCCAGGGCAGCCAGCCACCTGCACAGAGGGGAAGCAGTAGGTGCTGAGAAGTGGGGGGAGCCTCGGCTGCCCCCAAGAGCCCAGGCGCCGTCACAGGTCCTGACTCTACTCCCAGGAGGGCCTTCAATTCTCTTGCTGTCACTGCTCATGACCAACCCATGAAGCAGGGCGTTCTGAATTCAATACTAGTCAGACTTGGCGACCGCTCACCACACCGTGCCCTGGCCCCCACTAGTCATCTCACAGAGATTACTGTGGCTGTCCAGGCTGGCCCCTGCTCTTATTCTCATCCTCACTTCCATCTTCCCCATTCTGATCTCCAGGGCTCTCACGTTAGCAACATGGTGACCGTTCTCACACGCGCCTACCCGACTGCTCTTCCACATTCAGCGGCCAGCATGCTTCCTCCTTCCTCCTCCACTCAGGCTGCTCCGGACTCATGCAAGCCAACACCTTGCATCCGACACCTGACCTCTTCTGCTACCACCATGACCAAGCCACAGACACCAACGCTGACTAGACTGTCTGTCCCACTGGAATGTTCCATGCCTCTAATGTACGGCTCTCAGAGGCCCTTGAACACTGCACTGCTCCCTGCTGATTGAAAGGGTTGATGCTTTCCATGATGCTTGGCATCCAAGTCAAGGCCTCCCATGGCTGCTCAGGGACCTTGCCCTTGTCCAAGTCACTCCTGTCTGTTTAGTTTTAGTTTCCCGACAAGGATGTCCTTCCTTAAAGAACACACGGCTTCCTCCCTTTTGGCCTAGTCCTCTAATGCTTTCCTTACCGTCTCTGTCCCCCAACCAGTGTCCATGGCTCATCTCCCTGGCATTTCACTGAAATCTACCTTGTCCCGGGATGCAGGCTTTGGCACCCCCCCCCCCCCAACAGTGCTCACAAAGTGGCAAGCACCTGTGACAGGATAAATCAACAAGCAGTGAACAGGAACCGGGTTCAACCAGGACTTCATGCTTCCTAGTAACAGGAGGCTCCGTCTGACTTAACTCGACAAGTCGCTGGATTCCCTGGGAGCGAGTCAGAAGCAAGCGGACTCCACGGCACCACTAGTGCCACCAAGGACTCGCTGCCCTCCCCATCTTGCCAAGGAAGCGGGCTAGAACTACATTCCTAAAAGGTGGTTAACAATGCTTTCATTCACCTGCCCACCATCACTTCAACATCGATGAAGAACTTAATTCTCATAAACTCCTTGCTGTTATTAATGCTTGAGTACCCAGGACAGACTAAGGCTAAGGAACCTCACAATGCTTCAGGGATATCTCTCATGCCTTGATTCTTTATCTGTAGGATGGTCACAACAGCACTAGTTAGCTGAGAGAGATTCAAGTAGCGATCCCATAGTTAGATGACATCACCATTGAATGATTCGGAAAATACTACTTTACCTCAGTTAGCTATTGCTAGTAGCAAATCATCCTAAAACAGTGTCATAAAATTCCAATTGTTTATTTCATGATTCTGGAATATGAAAAAGGTTCAGGGGGTATGGCCTGAGGAGGACTCAAGTCTGTTCCAGGGTAGTGCCAGTTGGGTCATAAGGTCCACGAGGTCATGCACAAATCTGGCCCAGCTGCAGTAGGTGGGGCAAAGACTGGACCTCTCTCTCTAAAGATGGTCAGGGTACCAGGGTGAATGGAGAAGCCGACAGACCCGTGAAGGCCACTGGGCTCAAGTTACTGGCCCAGTCATTACTCAAGAGGAAAGAGACTTCCCCAACTCGAGTATAGACAGCAGAATGAAGGCTGTCTTTAAGTGTAGCCATGGGAACACCTGTCTGGAACCTTTTAAATATACAGCTGGGCCTAGAGAGTTGGCTCAGTGGTTAAGAGCACTTGCTGTTCTCCCACAGGACCCGGGTTCAGTTCCTAGCATCCACACAGTGGTCCACAACTACCCCTAACTCCAGTTTCAGGGAATCCAATGCCCTCTTTAGCACCAGACATACCTAGAGGCAAAATACTCATACACATAAAATAAATAAATCCCAAACAAAACCGACAGAATCCCAACACAGCTAACCTTGCTTCCTGTCCTGCTGTAATTCCCCTGCAACTCTCTGTACACAGACAGTGGGGACTCAAGGTCCTCCTGAGAAGGACAAGGTATAACCTCAGCCTCTGGGTGTCAATCATCACATACATACTTCTTTCTGGATGGAGCCGATGCCAACCCCATGGGCTGGGATCTCTTACTTGGAGCCAAAAGCACCTACAAGTTTTCCTTCAATGCTCTTGATCCTGGTCACTTCCCAGAGCTGTGCTATCTGAGTTCTTTCATGGCAGAGACACACCCTTTCTCCTCTGCTGTTTCCACATTGTATACTGCAGAAGCAAAATCCCTGCTGTCTTGAGCTCTCAGAAAGGTTCAGCTGTACACAAGGGGATGAGTGGAGTCCAGATCTACGCCCTGCTGGTGCCACATATTCTTCTGTGTGGGAGAAAAAGCATAAAGTGACCCAAATGCTTGCTTCCAAGGAGTTCAAGGGCTCCTGGAAGGGGAGGCGGTTGGTGACAAGATACATTTCAGCGTGTGCCAGCAATATGCCTGAGCCAAGGAAAAACTTAAAGAAGGAGAATGGGCAGGGCCATCAGAAAGATGATTCAGAAGAGTGGTCAGGCTGTGCTGTCTAGAGACAAATGATGCAGGCAAAGAGAACACCACGCACCACGGTCCTGAGGCTAGCTAGTGTGGCTGGAGCAGAGGCGGGTGATGAAGGCCCGCAGGTCATGGAAGGATTGGGCTTTCACCCCAAGTGAGATGGCATCTAGGAGGCTTCTCAGCAGGGAGGGACAAGTAGGTGCTCAGAGTTTCTTTGGTTACACGGGGAACGATGAAGGCAGGAAGACCAATGACGATGTCATGGACATTCACAGGTATGAACTCTGAGTACCCTTGAGATACCCAAGGAGGTTATCAGGTAGTCAGCCAGCCTGGAGCAGTTCTCAACTACAAACAAATGGCATCCCACACCCATTCTACATTCCTCACAGGGCCTACATGATTTGGTCCTGCTGAGGCCTCCAGGCTCAAATACACTTTGCTAAATTAATTTGTACTGGTAAACACACACACACACACACACACACACACACACACACACACCCCAACCTGAGCCTATCTCCTAGTGGTGTGACCCTAGACAAGAAGTAACTTAACTTCCATCTGCCCTCACTAGGCCTAAACTCGGAGAGGTCACCGCAGTTCTGGTCTTCTAGGACTGTTCAGTCAACAAAGTCTTTTACTGGGAGGCTGGGTGTGTAGAACATTTGCCTAGCATCTGGGGTTCCTTGGGTACCATCTCCAGCACCACAAACACACACACACACAAACAAACCAAACCGATACTATTAATGGGGCAGGAGACCTCCCTTCCCGGCCCTCTCTATCTCATCCTTCCACTCAGCCTGTCAACGCAATCGTCAAGAAAGTTCATCTGTCCTTCCCTGGCCTCCTCAGCACCGCCCCTGCCCGGTTACACCGCAGACAGCTCTTGCCTAGGGGCCTGTCACAAGCCGCCAGACCCGAGTCTTTTACTGCAGCCTACTTATCATGTTTCAGAAAAACTGGGCTGTACACCTTCCTCTCATTGTGCCTCAGCCCCTTCGAAAAAGTCCAGCTCTCTACATAACCAAAGACCCCCAATAAATCTTAACCGGCATTCTCAAAACGATCACTATCACCAGTGACCCACAAGCGACCAGGACCTTGCTCACCACGGCTTCTGCGTGTGCCCGCCATTGCCCCGCCCAGGCCCTGCAAGGTGGATTGACAACTTCCAGCACCACCACCCCCGCCCCGCCCCTGCACACTATCCAATCACTACCCGTTCTCCTGACCCGCCAACATCCGGGCCCTAATGCCGAAAGCTCAGCGAACACCAGGCCCCAGACACGTGCGCAGAGACTTCTGGGTTTTGTAGTTCCCCAAGAAAAGTGAGCAAAGAGCTAGCCTTAGCAGAACTCCACCTCCCAGGAGTCACCGCGCCCGCCCGTTGTGAGTGCTTAACAGTTTGAACCAGGTGGTTCTTCCAAAACTGACTGGGAGACAGCTGGTTCCAAATTGCCATGAAACAAAATTCACTTACCTGAAAGTCAGGGAGCGTCTTTTTGCCCGAGAATCTCAATATTCGGCAATGACTCCAGAATGGGGCTGGACACAGGTGGGGTAAAATCTGTCCCCATGGCCTGTCTGGATAGTACCAAGGAAGGCCCGTGGAGTACACCCAGAGCCTACTGGGTGCCTGCCTGACACAAAAAGCCACTCCTTGGTGGACTCTATGAGAGCCCTGACAGACGAGTGCAGGACGTTACTATTTCCAGCAACAGGCCAGAAAGCGGCCTTTTATCCTGGAAAAGGCAAATGTGGGCCAGGATCGTTGTATCCAGGATGTGTCTATGGTTCTACAGCCCGCCAACTTCCCGCTGCCCCGTGCCTGCACCAAGTATGATGTCCCCAGGAGGGATATACCCAAGCCACAAAGCACCCTTTCCCACACAACCTTCCCCACCATGCCTCTGAGGGTCAGGAGAGGGAGCCAAGGCCCTGCAAACGCTCAGGCAGGCATGTGAGAAAGCTCTTTACTGGGGGGTACAGCAAGGAGGAGCAAGGCCATCTCCCCCTACCTGCCCCCACCCCCTCCTAGGGCCCTAGGGTGAGGGGCAATCTCCCCTCTACCGGACCACCACTGTCTTTGGTACAATAAATAGAAAACAAGGGGGGAGAGGGGGCCAAGGGTCCAGTCTTAGTGGGGAGGGTGCGGCCAAAACCCCTCTCCCTTGACCCCCTGCCCTGGGCCCCAATCAGTGCAGGCCTCACCCACCCCAGCTGGGTAGCAGCAAGTCCAGTCAAGGGGAGAGATGAGGATGGGAGCCCAGGGCCCCCAGATGGGGGGGTATGGCTTCAGGAGGGGCCCCAGGGAGGGGGCAGGGTCATGAGCTGGCTGCTGTGCTCTGGGGTACGCCATGGAGGCCCAGGCGAGGCCCCAGAGTGGCAGGGTCATCAGGGGGTGGGAGAGGTGGTCGACCTCCCGTCATCCGAGTCCGGAGGGCTGAGGCAGCCGGGTGCTGGGGGGCAGGTGCTGGATGAGGTGGAGAGCATTCTGGAGGGCTGCCTGCCAGGCTCACATCCATCAGCTCCGGGGGTGGTGGTGATGTTGGTGATGGGGGACGTCCAAGGCATCGGGGTTGGGGGGGTAACTGGGCCCCAGTCCCTGGCAATGTCGAGGCAGAGGTAGGGGCTGGATGTGTCTTGTGGGGCACATCACCCCCTGCCCAGGGGCGCAGAGGCTGGGAGGGTATAATCTGAAAACAAAGGAATGGGGAGTGTTGAGATCCTGGAGCCCCAGGCACCTGCACCCCTCTCCGAGGGCTCACAGCTCCAGTACCTGGGGGCTGTTCATCTCACAGTCGGTGATGGGGGGCCCAGGCCCCCCACAATATCGGTAGCGGTAGGCCCTGTTGTCACTGGAGGAGCCACTGGAGCCTCCTGGAAACACCGGGATGGAGAAAAGAGGGCAGAGGTGCTAAGATGTGTGGAGTCTGTTCAACACTTAGACCCCAAGATTGACCTTTGAGACCAGAATCCTTGTGAAGGCTCTAAAAGCCCAATTTTGAAATCTAGGATCTGAGATTGTGTGGGAGGCTAGAGTCAGTTTTAGGGGCTAAATCCCAAGCCTGGATTCAGAGATTCTGTTGGTCACACGGGACTGTCCCACCGGGATTGTCCCACCCACCCCCTTACCCTGGAGCTCAGAATCTGGTAGCTCTAAGGCTCTAGGACAGAGGACCAGTAGCAAGGCCTCCAAGGCTGGGCCCTGCAGCACACATCTGACACTGGGCACCCACCAGAGCTGGAGATGGAGCTGGCGGTGCTAGAGGAGGGGCAGGTGTCGAGGCCCGCCGGCGAGGTGGAGGCACTGCTGCCCGCCGGGCCTGTGTTGGTGGCCTCGTCGGCCGTGCGGCGGAAGAAGCCGTGCTGCAGAGCGCCCAGCGGGCTGATGCGGGCGGCGGGCTCATATTCCAGCATGCGCAGCACCAGGTCCTGGAAGCGGAGGTAGTCGGCGGGGCTGTGGCCCGGCTCCCCCGCCCGCCGGCCCCCGGGCCCGCCCGTCTGCACGCCCAGCACCTCCTGCAGCCGCCGTGTCCCGGGGCCCTGGTAATCCTGGCAGGGAGGGGGTGGGAGGGGGGGCAAGAGAGTGGCCGTCAGTGGGCAGGAGGGGCAGGGAGACACACATGGGGAAACAGAGGCACAAGAGAGGAAGAGGAAAAGAGAAGCTAACAAGAGCTGTGGGGCGGGATGGTAATGGGGTGGGCAGGGGAGGAAGGAAAGGACAGACAAGGGGGAAGAGAAAGACAGGGAAAGACACAGGGAGAGGGGGGAGCCCCAAGTGTGAGTGAGGGGCCACCCAGGGAGGGAGAAGTGGCACAGGGCAGGGGCCGCACCTTCCTGAGTTCCTTTGTCCTTCGTAGGGTCCAGCCACCCCCAGGCAGCCGCTCAAAGTACTTGCGAGCCTTGGGTGCCTGTTCCAGCATGGGCGCAGGCGGGATGCCCAGCACCTCGACAATTCTGCTCATCTGGTCCACCTGCGGGCAGGCGGCGGTCAGGGGCGCCGGGTGGCCAGGCTCCACCCCTCCACCTCCAGCACACCCCTTCCAGGGGCACACCTCATTGGAGCCGCTGAAGAGGGGCTCTCCGGTGTGCATCTCCACAAGGATGCAGCCCAGGGACCACATGTCGATGGCCAGGTCATATGGTGTGCCCAGGAGCACTTCGGGTGAGCGGTAGAAGCGGCTCTGGATATACTGGTAGATCTGGGGAAGGGGCAGTAGTCAGGGCACTAGCTCCCCTGCTGGGTTCACTGAAAACTCAACTCAAGACAAGCCCCTGCTTGAAAACAGGATGGAGCCTCTAGGCTCTCAGCAAGGCTGCACAAACCAGACACTGTCTTGCTGAGCTTCCAGTCTTCGCTGGCCTGCCTTAACCCTGGCTCCATTCCCAGCTCTGGCCCCTTTTGAGAGAGGCCGGCTATCCCATACTGAATTATACTAACTAGTGTAACTCCTGTCTGCTTACACAAGGTCTTCTTTCTACCTGTGACCTGAAGACCACAAGTAGGCAAAGCAGAGCTCAGGCTCAGATCTCACTCAACTTTACTACTCTGAGGAGCTGCCTGCCCCTCGGGGTCACCCTCTTTCTTCCTTGCTTGGGTCTCCTCTGCCCCCTTCATCTCTGACTCCCTCCCTCCAGGGGGCCTCCAACTTCATCTCTCAGATATCAGCTCCCAGGACCAAAACAAAGCCACCCCATGCCATCCCACCCAAGACACTGGCCCTGCCCAAAGTCAGAGCCGCACCCGCTGGCCAAGCTGGCAGGAGCTGCCAAAGTCCACGATCTTGATGGCACTGCGCTTAGGATTGCAGAGCAGGATGTTCTCAGGCTTGAGGTCGCAGTGGATGATGCTGAGCTCAGGTGTGGCCAGAAAGAGCAGTGCTGTGCAGAGCTGCTGTGCCAGCTTCCGAGTCAGGTTCAGTGAGACACCTCGGAAGTGTGTGTTGCGCAGGAGGTCGTACAGGTTGTAGGACAGCAGCTCAAACACCAGGCACAGATGATTCCGGAACATGAAGTGCCGCTTCAGGTGTACTGTGGGGAACCACAGGCAACAGCTTAGAGACAGGTGACAGGGCAGATGGCCTGGGGCCACACAGCAACCACCTCTGCTAAACCGCAGCGAGCCCTCAGGAGTTTGTGCCCTGGGCTCAGTGGACTGGCAAAGCATGCTAATTCTCCTGAGGCTCTCACACCTCCTGATTTTTACCAAAAGGAAGGTTTCTGCCAGCAGGGAACAGTAAACACGACTGTAATCCCAGCACTTGGGAAACTAAGTCAGAGGATGGTTGAGTTCAGGGCCAGCTTGGCACACAGTACAGCCTGGAATTGTAAATAAAAAACAGAAAAACCCCAAAGGGTGGTATAACTTGAGGGTTATATTAGCTTAGGGCAAGGATGACCAAAGAAGGGTTGGAGCATGTTTGCCTAGCAAGCACAAGGCCCTAGGTTCAAGCTCCTGCACTGCAAAGGGAAAATCAAATGCACTATCACCTTCTAATAGAGCTGCAAAACATTTCCAGGCTTCCTCATTTCACATTACAGCACGGAGCCAGGCCTGGTGGTGCAGGCATAGAGACCAAGGTCTTCAGATGCAGAAAGAGTGGAAGCTCAAGGCCTGTCTGGATAACTTAGTGAAATTCTGTCTCAAAATAACTTAGTAAAAAGGGGTCTGGAGATGTAGTTCTGGGATGAGGCCCCTGCCTACTATGTATGATGCACTGGGTTTGATCCCTAGGATGGCAAAACAAAACCCCAAGAAGTACAAGCACCACCAAGAGCCCAAATGAACAAATGAACTTGCCTTCCTTTTAGCAGTATCTATCTTTGTGGCAAGGGACACTGGTTGTCCTTTTAAGAGTCTATCAGTCCCTTTCCAGAGGAATGGGACACATCTCGAGAGTCAGAGTTCCAGAGACCACTGCTTCTCAAATTATTAATTCTGTTGTGTATAAACTGTCACTTCATGTACGTGACAGCACTGAGTGCCTCAGTTTCCTATCTCCAACACGTGCACAAAACTGCCCTCTCCGGCACTGGCGGGGGTGAGGTAATTCATGTGGAGTGTTTGCAACAGTCTGGCCCTAGTGAGCACTGGATCAACACTGACCACTGCTGATCAGGTAAGCAGAAGAGCAAAGCCATGACCAAAGCATGGCCACTGCGGTGGAGAAGCCCCAAGACCCTTACTGGTGCTGTCTCGCAAAGGCGCCCTGCACTCACCTATGTAGTACTTCATCTCTGTGTCATGCTGGTTCATCAGCTCCAGCAGCCGCAGCTCAATCTGTGCCTGGTTCAGGAAGGCCTTTTTGTTCTTGATGATCTTGATGGCCACCAGCTCCTGGGTCTGGTGGTCATAGGCTTTCACCACCTGTAGAGACATGGAGAGTTACCCGGGGAGGTGGGAGGACCACCAGCCACAACTTTCCAACTAACAACTCACAGCCCCGCGCTCACATCCTTTGTACTGGATACAAAATAACATAGTTCCCTTATGTGGAGTCTTGTTTTTTATACTTCTACAGAAACTGAAACAGAGGGATACTAAGTGGCCTGAGAGACTGACCAAGTGAACACTGGGGGTAGAGAGAATGTGGGTAAGGTTAGTAACTGCATCCAGACAGTGGATGAGTGGCGGAGTCCCACACCTGGCCAAAGGAGCCTTTGCCAATAAGAGAGTCAATATCATAGCGCTCTAGCCAGCGCTCGCCACTGCGCACAATGTAGTCGTGGTTGTCGTCGTCATAACCGTGGTTCAGGACCTTCTTCTCCTTTTTGGTGCTCGAGTCCTGGGATGGCGCCTGTTGGGCCCGCCGCTTCTTCTTCGCATAGTATACCTGCTCAGGCAACCAGGAAACCGGACCCCTGAGTGACCCCGGCAAGCAGCCAGGCCCCTGGATTTCCAGCACCCAACAGGGAATCCCATCCCCCCACCTCATTGATGTGCTTGTAGGTCTTGATGAGATCCACTGAGAGCTTGCGCAGTGGGGCTGAGGCTGCGTCCCGGAAGGCCAGGGGTAGTCTCCGAGGCAGTAGCCGCACATCAGGCAATACCTGTGGTGGAGACAGGCAGACACTGAACACAGGCCTTCACCTCCAACTTTCAGGGAGAGAACTGTAGGGCCTGTCACACATTGGGGTCCCCCAGATACCTGTTCACTGTGTGATGAAGTGAATGATTTACTGCCCCCCACAGCCCCTGGTCAGCTTATCTGCTCTCTCTATTTTCTTCTGAATCTCAGTGAACACCTGAATGAGAAACTTGGGGTCTTTGCACCCGAGAGCAGTTTTGAGGACCCAGGCCATTGATTTCCCTGTAGCTCCATGTCCTCACCCTCAGATGGGTCTGTGCCCAGTTCCTAAAGCTCTTGGACCAGGATTAGACTTCTTGGGTTTCCCACTATTCTCAGCTCACTTCTTCCCATCCCCTTGATTTCCCTTCCAGGTTTTTCACTCCAGACCTCTGGCTCCGTGTGGACACTAAGACCGGTGTTCTGGGCTGTTGTGTGCCAGTGACAGTTCTGAGCCTGACAAACATTAACCAATCCGTGAGAGGCAGAGGGTCACAGAGAAGCGCAGTGTGGACTTTCCACCCTACCCGAAACCCTGCCAGTATCACCAGGTCTGCAGCATCCTCAGAGATCAGGCTGATGTCTGAACCCTTTCATCCCCAGTCTCTTTCGCCCCCCAGGCAGGTGAGAAGCCAGGTGAATGCCTACCTGTGTGTGTTCCTGGGGCCCCGGAAAGCCAGAGAAGGGACCATGGCCTGGTGGGACGGCCATGGTGGGCTCAGAGGGCCGCAGGGGTGTGAGGCCTGGAGCGGGAGCCCGGCCGGGGGGCGCCTTCTCGCATCCTGCACCTCGGCTGCCACCGCCGCTGAGACCTGAGAGCAGGTAGGAAGCAGGGAGACAACATGGAACAAGAGGGTATGTGGACCAGAGTCGAGCAGAGAGGTGGGCATGAAGAACACAGGGCAAGGGGGAGGCACCAGGCAGCAATGCAGAGGGGACAGAAACAAGTGGCGTAGCAGTGTTCCTCAACACATCATCAGTCAAATAAATGAGATAACATAATGACAAAATGTAAAAGGGAATGGTTAGAGTCACACAGGGGTGGGAGAGAGTGCATACAGGGCCAGGGCAGGAAGGACAGAGAAAGGCCAGTAATTGGGAGAGCAAAGGAGAAGACAGAGACCCTGCAGAGTCTGGGCAGTAGAATTCATTTTTCTCTCAATTTCTGCTGGTGCCCATTTGGAGTTCCTCAGAAAAAGACTCAACCTTCACATGGTCTTCCCTCAACATCAGGGTCTTCTGGGCCACAGTGAGGGCCCCATTTCGAATCGAGTCTAGAGAACTCCAGGATCCCTCACACCATAGCAGCCCTTGTGGAGTGCCCAGCAAAGATCAAGGTTATCTGAGAACTCCTTTATGTGTGAGTGCTATGGGTGTTTCAACCACCAGGGCACACTTTCCCCTGGGACAGCTCCCTAGAGGAGCCTCCCGCACCAGGGACTCCTTTCCCACTAGGACTTTCCCATAACCCAAGACCCCTACTCCTAGGAAAATAAGAGGGAGATGTTCGTTCTCGACAGTTTAAGAGTCACTGTCTTTTTCTCCCTTACACTGGGATCCTTGCTATACCCTTTATCAGATATTTCTAAACCGGGTCATTCCGCAATTGAGCCTGTTCCTAGAAGGGCCCAACAGCTAAATCCCTAAATAACACACAAGACGTCGCTCCCTCAAAGTGTCCTCCAGAACAAAGTCTTCTCCCTAAGAGCCTTCCCCCGTCAGATCCCTTATACCCTATGACTCGCTACTCCAGGTCCCCTTTACTGGGGCTTCACCGACAAACAACCTCTTCCCCGGCCCTCCCACACTAGGACCGACTCTCCCAGCTCCCACCCCTACCCGGGTCAGGGCTGGCGCTGGGCCCACGGGGGGCTGGGGAGCGATGGGGCCCCCAGTGCGGTGGGCGAACGGCCAGCATGGCGGTGGTGGCGGCGGTGATGAGAGGGTGGCCGCCTGTCCCCGGCCTGGCCAGTCCCGCGGCGGTGAGGGCAAGCGGGACAGGCGGCCCGGTGGGTGACAACAGCAGCCGCCGCCACCGCCGCCAGGGGGGCGGGGAGAGGAGGGGACGAGGGTCAGATCGGGGCACGCGGGGGAAGGGGACAGCAGGTGGACGGGGGAAGGGCGGGTTAACCCTCGCCCTACGGCCCAGCCCCGCCCCGCGTCGCCACCCGCCCCCAGGGACCCTGGCGTCCCGCCCCCCACCCGGCAAGCCCGCCCCGGCCGGTGGAGTCCCGGCGGGCGGGGCCCAACTGAGTTCGGCAGGCCGCACCTCCCATGGCAACAACCACGCCATTGGTTGTTGCCGCCAAGAGTTTAGCCAATCAGCACTCAGGGCAGCTGTTGCTAGGCGACAGTGAAGCGGCCAGCGCAGCCGAGCCCAAACAAAGGGCGGGAGTGGGGCCGGGCTGCCCCCTCCCAGACTCCCTCTCAAGACGGCTCCCTCAGGCTGGGCCCCTTCCAGAAATCCGGCCGTAAATAGCCGGGCTCCGCTGCACTGGCCCGAAGCCCCCTCCTTTCCCTTGCTAAGTCTCGCGGGGATGGGCAGGGCGGATCCCGGTCTGCCCCCCACTCAAGCGTGCCACCCCGCCCAGCCCGTCGCCGTACCGTTACCTGAGGGCGTGGGTAAGGGGACTCAAACTGCTCGGGGAGCCCGAGCTCAGACCTGCCCACTGGCTGAGGGTGTCCGGCGGACGCGGCAAGCCAGGGCCCCGATTACCCAGTAATGCAACCAGCAAAATGGCGACCACAACAAACCGGCCCCCCTGTCCCGGCTCCGCCCCCACACCGCTCACGTGACTTAGGAGATCACTGTGCGCCTGCGCCTTCAGAGCGCTGAGCCGCGCACATGCGTAGCAGATATCAATGGAGCATGCACCACGTGACCGGATGAAACTTTCCAAGGCACACCCCCACAAGCGCACACAAAGTTGGTCAAGGGCGCATGCGTCTTTTGGCCACTGAGCAAACAGTACCAGACAGGGGAGACAGATGAGTCTTTTAATAGAAAAAAAAAAATACACGTGCAACAGTAGCAACACACATTTCTTCGAATCCAGACAGCTCCGAGTTTCAGTTCTTCACCTTGGGAGGTGGCCTGTGAGGAAATCAGAGGGGGTCCAGCTGTCAACATTTTCGGCTCCCAAAGCCCAGGGAGCTCAGGCTGCAAGGGAGAAGTCTAGTTCGGTACTTACCTGTACACACCTACAACCACAGCGTGGTCCCGTTCGTAGGGCTCAAGTGTCAGCTGCTCCTGGGGCTTCATATTCTCCTGTTGCATCTTCTTCACTTCAGATGCAAACACAGCTTCTGCCGAGGCTGTGGAGTCAATGCAGTTCGCCTACAGAAAGAGGACAAAGGACGAGGTTAGAGATTTGGAGACCCAGGGCTGGGCAATTATAAAACTCCATTACAGAAATTTTAATTTGGCTTGGACTGGAAACAGGATGTCCCACTTATCTAAAGCAGTGTTTTAACTCCGGAATTTTCTTTCATGTCCTGGTAACAGTAGAACAAATGCCGCAAGAGGCTAATTTTGAACAAGGTGAAGAAATAAATGTTTCTAAAAATGCACTTTGTACTTATTTTCTCTGTATCAGAAATCTGTTCTAAGCACTTCACATATATCAATCTACTTCAAACCTTAAAGAGGGTTGATCAATAAACGAAGAAACAGTCTCGTAGGCTAAGTAGCTCGCTCAGACACAGAGATCAACTTACATTCCAAGCCTCATACCTTAATGGAAATCACAAAGTGTCCTCCATTCCTCAGGAAGGTGTGAGCATTCAGGGCCACAATCCGGGTTTGGTCTGGCTGTGCCACATCGGCAAAGATCACATCCACCATGGCTAAGGAACAAGGGACAGCAGTTACCAAATAGAAGCCACCAGAGAGCTACCCAGAGCCTCCCAATATGGGGCCTGTGCTCCATCACCACCAGGTTCCTGGGAGTCTCCTGCCTCCAGTCTCACTCCCCACCACACACCCTCCCTCCAAAGCACCCCAAAGGTGGGGCCAGAACCCAGACACATCACTCATCCACTCCTCTTGTAAAGCATGGTTGCCACCTACTCTGTGGCCAGCCCTGGGCTGGGCGTGGGGGACACAGAGACGAGTCAGACCCTGCCCTCGAGATGCTCCCGGGTCTGGGGGGAGACAGACATGTCATCAAAAAGACAAGTAAAGGTGAGCAGTTAAAGGCAAGACGTGGCCAGGGCTGTCAAATGAGGGAAGGACCAGAGAAGGGGCCGAGTGAACCGAGAAAATGCAAAGAAAAAAAGGAGGGGGGAAAAACCACTCCCCCCCAAACCAAATCAAACCAAAACAAAAAAGTGCAATGAAAAGGCAATGTTTTTAGGCAGTATGATTTAAACATGAACACATAAACAAAGTGATAGAATGAAAACATCTTTAAGGATTTAGAAAAGCAAATGGTTAAGTATCGAGTACCTCTGGGGGAATTCATGAGGCTTTCCATTTTTATACTAGACCTCTGAGGGTTTAAAAAAAAAAAAAAGAGCCATTGGGTCATACTTGCCGTGCTCAGGGCTGGAATGTCATCAGATAATATAAAGAAAAGCAGGAGACAGGGCAGTGTAAAAAGGCATCAAGGGTCGGAGGGGAGCAGAAGTGCATGGGACTCAGGGAGGGAGATCAGAGATGACCAGCACAATCTCCACCTGCAGCTCCTCACTCTAACTCCATCTGAATTTAGACTCCACTGGCCTCTTCCGGGAAATATGCAGTGGCTTATCCTACCTTCCCTGGGCCGCCCCCAGGCCCCTCACCAATAAGCATGCGGTATTTGTGTGGGTGTCGGGCATCTTCAATCACAGGAATAATGTTGGTCCTCTTCTTGGCCAAGTTGATGAGGTCCCGGCCAGAACGGTGGGAGAACTCAACTGCATAGACCAGACCATCCTAAAATAAACCAACAGCAATGAGCACACACTTGTTCTCCATTACGGGCTCATGCGCCACTTGTAGCAGGCCCTCAGACCCTCGTCACTAAGCCCGTGGTCCAGATGAGTAAATGGGCCTTGGAGATGAGTCTCCTGCCATGGTTATCCACAACCAATAAAGCTACAAGACCCTAATTTATCTGGCCCAAGAGCCCAGGCTCCCAACACAGGCTAAAGTCTAGGGCAGAGGACAGAGCCAAGGGCATTTGCAATGGGCCAGCACTCACAGCAAGCATACAATTTTCCAAACAACCTTATTCTCCATAGTGCTCACCTCTGGGTCAGAGAGCTAAGTGTCTCACTGAAGCCACACACTATTAAATACCAATAGAAGTCTGAGTTTTGTTGCGGTTTGTATTTAGACAAGGTCTGACTATGTAGCTTACTTAGGCGACTACAACAGTGTGTGCTTTCCCCCACCAAATTAAAGAGTCTGTAATTGAGCCAACAGCAAGAGGCTTTGAAGTGGGACATCCAAGAGGCAGGTGCTCTCTGCATTGCCATCACCACAGAAAACACATGCCCATCAGTAGAAACCAAGGGCTGCGGATGTAGGTGTATCTGCCTAGTATCCAAGAGGCCCTGGGGTCAACCCCAATATGGGGGGTTGGGGAGAGAACAAACTAGGTTTGGGGGCCATGAGTATTTTGTGTCTATGTATGTAGAAGCCAGAGAACAATGTAGGTGTTATTCTCCAGGAACTCCTCCCATCCTATTTCTGAGACAAGGTCTCTCACTGGTGTAGAACTTATCCATAGATGGCAGCCGATGACCAGCAAGCTCCACGGCTGCTGTTGCCCCTAGTGCTGTTACAGGGGTACACACACCACCACACTTTCACATGAATTCCGAGGATCAAAATCAAGTCCTCATGCGAGTGTGATAAGCACTTTAGTCACTAAGCTACCCTTCCAGCCCTGGGACATCAGCTTTTCAAGAGGGCAACCAAAATAGTTTGGTATCTATGTTCCCAGCTCTGGGTCATTTTAACAGTGCAGGTAAACAGCCAGGCTCGGCTCCCTCCATCTCTACCACCCATCCACTCACCGGGCCAACGATGTCAGAGACATGAGAGACGGTGGTGCCTGAAGCTGCCCCAAGGTAGAGCACCTTGGCCCCTGGCTTGATGTGGATCTGGTCTACACCGCCCAGGATTGCTGCTGCCAGCTTGGAACGGAAGGGGTTCCAGGCTCGGTATTCAATTTTGTCATCTCCCTCCTGACCCAGGAGAGATGGGAACAAAAGTCAGTGCTGGGTTCCTGTGCAGGATACCATCCCATAACCCTAGGGCCTCAAAAGAAATGTTGCAGCCCAATCACTGTATAAAAACCAAAAGCAGATATACAATAGGGACAAGAACAGAAAACAAACAGTAAACACGGAGGTGACAGAAAGACCCGGGCACTAGGCATTACTTCCTGCTCTAGCTGTTTCAGGTGTTGGAGACAACCTTGACTAGGACATGGATCCTGCCCCGAGCAGTAAGTGCCCACTGAACCAACACAAACTGCCTCAGGAGACGGTGACGGGCTAGAGAGACCAAGCCAGGAGAGAGGAAGGCAAACTAGAATGGACCAGGAAGGGCTGGGGACGTTTGAACTAGACCTAGAAGTGAGCAGGTAGGCCTCTGGCCAGCCATAGAGAAGAGGACGTAGGAGAACTACGGCTGGGGTTGTGAGGATACGAGAGTCCTGTCAGGACCAGGAGGTCCTGACTAGAGACAGAAGATCGGGAGCTGGTACAGTATGGAGCTGGGGAACAATAGGGCAAGGTCAGGGAATTGGGAGGGGAGCTGGGAACTGAAGAACTGGAGGCTATGACGGGCGGGGAATCTCAAGGTGCATGGAACAGTGTGCATGGCCTAACTTATGCACTAACACCCCAGCTCCCCACTGTCACAAGTAGGACACAACAGCAAGACTGAATGCAGGTGGCACCATCAGCTAGGGCTGGTACTTAAAACAAGGGTTTAGAACTCACTGAAATAGAGACTCTCTTCTCCCCATACACAGACTCTCCAGGGACCAGATTCTTTGTGACAAGGGCATCCTCCTTTCCACGACAGATAAAGACGCCTGGTGAAGGTAGCAGAGAAGAATGGGGCTGAGGACTCAGAATGCGGCCACGGTCCACTTCTGGCTGCAGCTGCCGCCCTGACCACCACACTCACCTTCATGCCGATGTGGTTCCACCATCACATTCTTCCCTGACTGGTTTCCTCTCTTGCCTCCCCGGCCACCACCTCGACCCCGGCCGCCCCCAGACTGGAAGCCTCCACCTGCAAGAGAAAGCTGCAGGTGGAGAGGGAGGTACCTTCTCTCCCCTCCCTGCACCCTTCAGGAGCCTGCTCCACCTCCCCATGTCAACCTCACTCACCTCGTCCACCACCTCCTCCTCCACCTCCTCGTCCCCTGAAGCCTCCGCCTCCGCCTCCACCTCCACCTCCACCTCGACCTCGGCCTCCACCAAAGCCTCCTCGACCTGCGCCAAAGCCTCCTCGTCCGCCTCGTCCTCCTCTACCACCTCTGTCACCACCAAAGCCTCCTCTGCCACCAAAGCCACCCCCACGGGGGCTGAAACCTGTAGTAGAAAC